GGCTGGTATTAGGACATCTTTACAAGGGTGGGGGCTGGTATTAGGACGTCTTTACAAGGGTGGGGCTGGTATTAGGACGTCTTTACAAGGGTGGGGGCTGGTATTAGGACGTCTTTACAAGGGCGGAGGCTGGTATTAGGACGTCTTTACAAGGGTGGGGGCTGGTATTAGGACGTCTTTACAAGGGTGGGGGCTGGTATTGGGACGTCTTTACAAGGGTGGGGGCTGGTATTAGGACGTCTTTACAAGGGTGGAGGCTGGTATTAGGACGTCTTTACAAGGGTGGGGGCTGGTATTAGGACATCTTTACAAGGGTGGGGGCTGGTATTAGGACGTCTTTACAAGGGTGGGGCTGGTATTAGGACGTCTTTACAAGGGTGGGGGCTGGTATTAGGACGTCTTTACAAGGGTGGAGGCTGGTATTAGGACGTCTTTACAAGGGAGGGGCTGGTATTAGGACGTCTTTACAAGGGTGGAGGCTGGTATTAGGACGTCTTTACAAGGGTGGAGGCTGGTATTAGGACGTCTTTACAAGGGTGGAGGCTGGTATTAGGACGTCTTTACAAGGGTGGAGGCTGGTATTGGGACGTCTTTACAAGGGTGGGGGCTGGTATTAGGACGTCTTTACAAGGGTGGAGGCTGGTATTAGGACGTCTTTACAAGGGTGGGGGCTGGTATTAGGACGTCTTTACAAGAGTGGAGGCTGGTATTAGGACGTCTTTACAAGGGTGGGGGCTGGTATTAGGACGTCTTTATAAGGGTGGGGGCTGGTATCATGACGTCTTTACAAGGGTGGGGGCTGGTATCATGACGTCTTTACAAGGGTGGGGGCTGGTATCATGACGTCTTTACAAGGGTGGGGGCTGGTATCTGGACGTCTTTACAAGGGTGGGGGCTGGTATCTGGACGTCTTTACAAGGGTGGGGGCTGGTATCAGGACATCTTTACAAGGGTGGGAGCTGGTATCTGGACGTCTTTACAAGGGTGGGGGCTGGTATCAGGACATCTTTACAAGGGTGGGGCTGGTATCTGGACGTCTTTACAAGGGTGGGGGCTGGTATCAGGACATCTTTACAAGGGTGGGGCTGGTATCTGGACGTCTTTACAAGGGTGGGGGCTGGTATCAGGACATCTTTATAAGGGTGGGGGGTTGGTATCTGGACGTCTTTACAAGGGTGGAGGCTGGTATGAGGACATCTTTACAAGGGTGGGGGCTGGTATCATGACGTCTTTACAAGGGTGGGGGCTGGTATCATGACGTCTTTACAAGGGTGGGGGCTGGTATCATGACGTCTTTACAAGGGTGGGGGCTGGTATCATGACGTAATTACAAGGGTGGGGGCTGGTATCATGACGTCTTTACAAGGGTGGAGGCTGGTATCAGGACATCTATACAAGGGTGGATGGCTGGTATCATGACGTCTTTACAAGGGCGGGGGCTGGTATCTGGACTGCTTTACAAGGGTAGGGGCTGGTATCTGGACTTCTTTACAACGGTGGGGGCTGGTATCAGGACATCTTTACAAGGGTGGAGGCTGGTATCAGGACATCTTTACAAGGGTGGGGGGCTGGTATCAGGACATCTTGACAAGGGTGGGGGGCTGGTATCAGGACGTCTTTACAAGGGTGGAGGGCTGGTATCAGGACATCTTTACAATGGTGGGGGGCTGATATCAGGACATCTTTACAAGGGTGGGGGCTGGTATCTGAACGTCTTTACAAGAGTGGGGGCTGGTATCAGGACGTCTTTACAAGGGTGGGGGCTGGTATCAGGACATCTTTACAAGGGTGGGGGGCTGGTATCAGGACATCTTTACAAGGGTGGGGGCTGATATCAAGACGTCTTTACAAGGGTGGGGGCTGGTATCAGGACGTCTTTACAAGGGTGGGGGCTGGTATCAGGACATCTTTACAAGGGTGGGGGGCTGGTATCAGGACATCTTTACAAGGGTGGGGGCTGATATCAAGACGTCTTTACAAGGGTGGGGGCTGGTATCAGGACGTCTTTACAAGGGTGATGGGGGGGGGGCTGGCATCAGGACATCTTTACAAGGGTGGGGGCTGGTATGTAGGCGTCTTTACAAGGGTGGGGCCGGTTTCTGGACGTCTTTACAAGGGTGGGGGCTGGTATCAGGACGTCTTTACAAGGGTGGGGGGCTGGTATCTAGACGTCTTTACAAGGGTGGGGGGCTGGTATCTAGACGTCTTTACAAGGGTGGGGGGGCTGGTATATGGACGTCTTTACAATTGTGGGGGGCTGGTATCAGGACGTCTTTACAAGGGTGGGGGGCTGGTATCTGGACGTCTTTACAAGGGTGGGGGGCTGGTATCTGGACGTCTTTACAAGGGTGGGGGGGCTGGTATATGGACGTCTTTACAATTGTGGGGGGCTGGTATCAGGACGTCTTTACAAGGGTGGGGGGCTGGTATCTGGACGCCTTTACAAGGGTGGGGGGGGCTGGTATCAAGACGTCTTTACAAGGGTGGGGGGGCTGGTATCTGGACGCCTTTACAAGGGTGGGGGGGCTGGTATCAAGACGTCTTTACAAGGGTGGGGGGGCTGGTATCAAGACGTCTTTACAAGGGTGGGGGCTGGTATCAGGACGTCTTTACAAGGGTGGGGGGGCTGGTATCAAGACGTCTTTACAAGGGTGGGGGCTGGTATCAGGACGTCTTTACAAGGGTGGGGGGGCTGGTATCAAGACGTCTTTACAAGGGTGGGGGCTGGTATCTGGACGTCTTTACAAGGGTGGGGGCTGGTATCAGGACGCCTTTACAAGGGTGGGGGCTGGTATCAAGACGTCTTTACAAGGGTGGGGGCTGATATCTGGACGTCTTTACAAGGGTGGGGGCTGATATCTGGACGTCTTTACAAGGGTGGGGGCTGGTATCTGGACGTCTTTCCAAGGGAGGGGGGGGTATCAGGACATCTTTACAAGGGGGGGGTATCAGGACATCTTTACAAGGGGGGGGTATCAGGACATCTTTACAAGGGGGGGGGGGTATCAGGACATCTTTACAAGAGGGGGGGGCCATCAATACTTCCCTTCACCTGTCCCCTCACAACACCACCTTCCTCTTCCTACCTCCTCCCTACACCTTCCATCCCCCAGTACTTCCCTCTCCCTCCTTCCCAAAGTGGGCCGCTAATCCCACTCCCCCTTGGGATCTTCACTCGGTCTTTCCCCTTTGTGTCTTCAGCCCTTTGATCCTCTTCCGTCACTTCTCTGCCTCTCCCCTCACTGTCCCTCGCTTCCCCCTTCTCAAGCCTACCTTTCCCTCCCCTCACAAGTCTCTCTCGCACCTTAAACACTTTCTACCTTTCACTCCCTTTCTCTCATTCCTCCCCCCCCCACCTCACTAGGGCACCTCCCTCTGGGTACGGTAGACTGTGGACAGTTGAAAGGACGGGAGGATGTGGGGGCCACTCCACCTGTGGTGTGTCACTCCCCACCAGGAAGTGACACACCGGGGAGTGACACGCCGGGGAGTGACACGCCGGGGAGTGACACGCCGGGGAGTGACACGCCGGGGAGTGACACGCCGGGGAGTGACACGCCGGGGAGTGACACGCCGGGGAGTGACACACCAGGGGGAATGACACACCAGGGGAATGACACACCAGGGGGAATGACACACCAGGGGGAATGACACACCAGGGGGAATGACACACCAGGGGGAATGACACACCAGGGGGAATGACACACCAGGGGGAATGACACACCAGGGGGAATGACACACCAGGGGGAATGACACACCAGGGGACTGACACACCAGGGGAATGACACACCAGGGGAATGACACACCAGGGGAATGACACACCAGGGGAGTGACACACCAAGGGAATGACACACCAGGGGGAATGACACACCAGGGGAGTGACACATCCGGAGAATGACACATCCGGAGAATGACACATCCGGAGAATGACACCCCAGGGGAATGACACACCAGGGGGAATGACACACCAGGGGGAATGACACACCAGGGGGAATGACACACCAGGGGGAATGACACACCAGGGGAATGACACACCAGGGGGAATGACACACCAGGGGGAATGACACACCAGGGGGAATGACACACCAGGGGACTGACACACCAGGGGAATGACACACCAGGGGAATGACACACCAGGGGAATGACACACCAAGGGAATGACACACCAGGGGGAATGACACACCAGGGGAGTGACACATCCGGAGAATGACACATCCGGAGAATGACACACCAGGGGAATGACACACCAGGGGGAATGACACACCAGGGGAGTGACACATCCGGAGAATAACACACCAGGGGAATGACACACCAGGGGAATCACACACCAGGGAGTGACACACCAGGGGACTGACACACCAGGGGGAATGACACACCAGGGGAATGACACATCCGGAGAATGACACATCCGGAGAATGACACACCAGGGGAATGACACACCAGGGGGAATGACACACCAGGGGAGTGACACATCCGGAGAATAACACACCAGGGGAATGACACACCAGGGGGAATGACACACCAGGGGGAATGACACACCAGGGGAATGACACACCAGGGGGAATGACACACCAGGGGAATGACACACCAGGGGGAATGACACACCAGGGGGAATGACACACCAGGGGAATGACACACCAGGGGACTGACACACCAGGGGGAATGACACCAGGGGGAATGACACACGTCAGGGGAAGAGTTAGGGAAGTAGAGGGGAGGGGGGGGAGGTCGTATAACAAACCCTCCATATATTTTCTATTTATATCATAGGGCACAACCGAACTTCTCGCTTAACACGACGTATTTTGACGTAAAGATGCCCAACGTCACAGTCAGCGGCTCGCAAACTTGACGTAACGTCCCCCGTTTTCTATTCGTGGGTCCTCTGTTAGGTTAGGTTCGGGCAATTTAGTACATCAGTTTAATGACGTTGGGAACACTGTAGAGGACGGAATGCCCCCTAGTGTAGAGCTCCTACTCAACACTACAAAAGTGAGGGAATGGACTTACCGACCGGACTTACCAGAGTAAGTCCGGTCGGTAAGACTTGTAGTCTTCCGGATTTAGAGTTTAAGGAGGAAGATGGACCAATAGAGCCGTCAGGGGAAGATGTACCAACAGAGCCGTCAGGGGAAGATGGACCAACAGAGCCGTCAGAGGAAGATGGACCAACAGAGCCGTCAGGGGAAGATGGACCAACAGAGCCGTCAGGGGAAGATGTACCAACAGAGCCGTCAGGGGAAGATGTACCAACAGAGCCGTCAGGGGAAGATGTACCAACAGAGCCGTCAGGGGAAGATGTACCAACAGAGCCGTCAGGGGAAGATGTACCAACAGAGCCGTCAGGGGAAGATGTACCAACAGAGCCGTCAGGGGAAGATGTACCAACAGAGCCGACAGGGGAAGATGTACCAACAGAGCCGTCAGAGGAAGATGTACCAACAGAGCCGTCAGAGGAAGATGTACCAACAGAGCCGTCAGGGGAAGATGTACCAACAGAGCCGTCAGGGGAAGATGTACCAATAGAGCCGTCAGAGGAAGATGTACCAACAGAGCCGTCAGGGGAAGATGTACCAACAGAGCCGTCAGGGGAAGATGTACCAACAGAGCCGTCAGGGAAAGATGGACCAACAGAGCCGTCAGGGGAAGATGTACCAATAGAGCCGTCAGGGGAAGATGTACCAATAGAGCCGTCAGGGGAAGATGTACCAACAGAGCCGTCAGGGGAAGATGTACCAACAGAGCCGTCAGAGGAAGATGCACCAACAGAGCCGTCAGGGGAAGATGTACCAACAGAGCCGTCAGGGGAAGATGTACCAACAGAGCCGTCAGGGGAAGATGTACCAACAGAGCCGTCAGGGGAAGATGTACCAACAGAGCCGTCAGGGGAAGATGTACCAACAGAGCCGTCAGGGGAAGATGGACCAACAGAGCCGTCAGGGGAAGATGTACCAACAGAGCCGTCAGGGGAAGATGGACCAACAGAGCCGTCAGGGGAAGATGGACCAACAGAGCCGTCAGGGGAAGATGTACCAACAGAGCCGTCAGGGGAAGATGTACCAACAGAGCCGTCAGGGGAAGATGTACCAACAGAGCCGTCAGGGGAAGATGTACCAACAGAGCCGTCAGAGGAAGATGGACCAACAGAGCCGTCAGGGGAAGATGGACCAACAGAGCCGTCAGAGGAAGATGGACCAACAGAGCCGTCAGAGGAAGATGGACCAACAGAGCCGTCAGGGGAAGATGTACCAACAGAGCCGTCAGGGGAAGATGTACCAACAGAGCCGTCAGGGGAAGATGGACCAACAGAGCCGTCAGGGGAAGATGTACCAACAGAGCCGTCAGGGGAAGATGGACCAACAGAGCCGTCAGGGGAAGATGGACCAACAGAGCCGTCAGGGGAAGATGTACCAACAGAGCCGTCAGGGGAAGATGTACCAACAGAGCCGTCAGGGGAAGATGTACCAACAGAGCCGTCAGGGGAAGATGTACCAACAGAGCCGTCAGAGGAAGATGGACCAACAGAGCCGTCAGGGGAAGATGGACCAACAGAGCCGTCAGAGGAAGATGTACCAACAGAGCCGTCAGGGGAAGATGTACCAACAGAGCCGTCAGGGGAAGATGGACCAACAGAGCCGTCAGAGGAAGATGTACCAACAGAGCCGTCAGGGGAAGATGGACCAACAGAGCCGTCAGAGGAAGATGGACCAACAGAGCCGTCAGGGGAAGATGGACCAACAGAGCCGTCAGAGGAAGATGTACCAATAGAGCCGTCAGGGGAAGATGGACCAACAGAGCCGTCAGGGGAAGATGTACCAATAGAGCCGTCAGGGGAAGATGGACCAACAGAGCCGTCAGGGGAAGATGTACCAACAGAGCCGTCAGGGGAAGTGGACCAACAGAGCCGTCAGGGGAAGATGTACCAACAGAGCCGTCAGAGGAAGATGGACCAACAGAGCCGTCAGGGGAAGATGGACCAACAGAGCCGTCAGGGGAAGATGGACCAATAGAGCCGTCAGGGGAAGATGGACCAACAGAGCCGTCAGGGGAAGATGGACCAACAGAGCCGTCAGGGGAAGATGTACCAATAGAGCCGTCAGGGGAAGATGGACCAACAGAGCCGTCAGGGGAAGATGGACCAACAGAGCCGTCAGGGGAAGATGTACCAATAGAGCCGTCAGAGGAAGATGGACCAACAGAGCCGTCAGAGGAAGATGGACCAACAGAGCCGTCAGGGGAAGATGGACCAACAGAGCCGTCAGAGGAAGATGGACCAACAGAGCCGTCAGGGGAAGATGGACCAACAGAGCCGTCAGAGGAAGATGGACCAACAGAGCCGACAGCGAAATACATAGTTATAAGAAATTTAGTTTTTTTGTATATGTATAAAATTAAATCCTTAGCTAAGCCTCTCTTAGGCCTACGTGACGGGACCAAACCTGCCCAGCCAAATGCACATGTGGTTCCCCACATATGGGGAATCACATGTGGGGAACCACATGTGAGGAACCACATGCGGGTTAACTGGTGCACCAGAATTATAGAACCAGATTTCCTCAATAAATATTTACTGTCCTTACACACATATATAATTTGTAATCATCAAAGTCTTCAGAGCAATGTACTGTACAGGAAGACTGTGTATATAATCCACGGGATCTGATGATACACGTGGAATGTTTATATTAACACATGTGGGTGTGTGTGGCAAAAGTAAATATTTGACTATGGAAAATGTTGGCTAATATGTTTAGGTTATAATCCATACTTTGTAAGGAAACTAACATATTGTGAAATTTCTCATTTATAAATATGTTGAATTGTTATATAAAGTCTTTTTTTCCCTCATTGCCCACACCTGCCCCTCACCAGTCTCCTCCCTCACTGCCCACACCTGCCCCTCCCCGTCTCCTCCCTCACTGCCCACACCTGCCCCGCCCCGTCTCCTATGTAACTACATGTGAACTTAGTTTTAAACCTGTCCTACAATTCTAACATTTGGTACTATTTGTGATCATATAAATAACATCAGGTAACTCGTGGTGCGGCCCCAGGCCAGACCACATTGATCATAGAAGCGAGTGGTGGTGTCTTGATGTACCTTGACAAAGGAGTTAGTTGAGGCAACTAGCTCACTACAGCTCATGTGGAAGTATGCAGTGAATGTGGTCACACTCGGCTGATCAAATGTGTACACCATGCTGACGACAGCTGGTGTGTGTGTGTGTGTGTGTGTGTGTGTGTGTGTGTGTGTGTGTGTGTGTGTGTGTGTGTGTGTGTGTGTGTGTGTGTGTGTGTGTGTGTGTTACCATTTCCTGACGAGGTGAGCGCAGTCGTTCGGTCCACAAGTGGGTGCGTGTATCATCTCCCAGTTAACACCAAACTACCTTAAATTCCCCACAATAGCTACAGAGCCGTCTAAAGAACATTCATCTATAGAGCCGCAACATGTAAACACAGGAACACTCATAAATAGAGTCATCTACAAACAATGCAGAAGCGGTAGATAGGTAACAAAAGCTCTGATTTAGCAAGGGACAAGTAGAGGTCCCAGAGTAGATGTTAATCTTCTTGTTTGAGGAGCTGTTCACTTGAGACAGTTAAGCAAGTCCCAGCTGTGTCTGGGTACAAGTGACAGGATGATCAACCCAGCGGGTTTTCTTCCTATTGGGGAGTGTTGTACATGCTGCTATGGCGGTATGTCCACTTACAGGATGAGTGCCTCTGCCCAATACTATCACTATGGCGGTGTGTCCACTCACAGGATGAGTGGCGCTGCCCAATACTGTCACTATGGCGGTGTGTCCACTCACAGGATGAGTGCCGCTGCCCAATACTGTCACTATGGCGGTGTGTCCACTCACAAGATGAGTGACGCTGCCCAATACTGTCACTATGGCGGTGTGTCCACTCACAAGATGAGTGACGCTGCCCAATACTGTTACCATGGCGGTGTGTCCACTCACAAGATGAGTGCCGCTGCCCAATACTGTCACTATGGCGGTGTGTCCACTCACAGGATGAGTGCCTCTGCCCAATACTGTCACTATGGCGGTGTGTCCACTCACAGGATGAGTGGCGCTGCCCAATACTGTCACTATGGCGGTGTGTCCACTCACAGGATGAGTGCCGCTGCCCAATACTGTCACTATGGCGGTGTGTCCACTCACAAGATGAGTGACGCTGCCCAATACTGTCACCATGGCGGTGTGTCCACTCACAAGATGAGTGCCGCTGCCCAATACTGTCACTATGGCGGTGTGTCCACTCACAAGATGAGTGCCGCTGCCCAATACTGTCACTATGGCGGTGTGTCCACTCACAAGATGAGTGCCGCTGCCCAATACTGTCACTATGGCGGTGTGTCCACTCACAGGATGAGTGCCGCTGCCCAATACTGTCACTATGGCGGTGTGTCCACTCACAGGATGAGTGCCGCTGCCCAATACTGTCACTATGGCGGCGTGTCCACTCACAAGATGAGTGACGCTGCCCAATACTGTCACTATGGCGGTGTGTCCACTCACAAGATGAGTGACGCTGCCCAATACTGTCACCATGGCGGTGTGTCCACTCACAAGATGAGTGCCTCTGCCCAATACTGTCACTATGGCGGTGTGTCCACTTACAGGATGAGTGCCTCTGCCCAATACTGTCACTATGGCGGTGTGTCCACTTACAGGATGAGTGCCTCTGCCCAATACTGTCACTATGGCGGTGTGTCCACTCACAGGATGAGTGCCGCTGCCCAATACTGTCACTATGGCGGTGTGTCCACTCACAAGATGAGTGGCGCTGCCCAATACTGTCACTATGGCGGTGTGTCCACTCACAAGATGAGTGACGCTGCCCAATACTGTCACTATGGCGGTGTGTCCACTCACAAGATGAGTGACGCTGCCCAATAAACTCCCCCCTCGGGGCAAAATTAAAAAAAAAAATAAATGGCAAACGTCCACATCACTGGATTTTATTTTTTTGTATATAAACAGTTATAAATATATTTTTTTGACAAATATTTTAAGTGAAAGTTAAATATTTCTATTAAACATTTGAAATATACAGAAAGCTGCAGCAGTTCCGTACTAAATATTATTAGTAAAAACCTTATCTCATTTCAAATTATTTTGAATTTATACTCAAAAATTATCAAGCTTAATGTAGTAAGGAGCCATTTATCTGAGAGATTTATTTAATGCGGAGTTTTAAAATTTTTGGAAAAAAAATTGGTTTATTTAAAAAGTTTATTTTTTTCAGGTTTAGGTTTGCAATATTCTCAGCGAGTTTTCTGTCGACTGAAAATGTCATTGGACAAAGTTTGTAACAAAAGTAATAAGCTTAGAAGAAATTGTATTTTTTTTTTAGCAATTTACAACCCGCCAAACACACACCGAAACTACGACGTTGGTACAACGTTCGAACAAGTTTTAACACCACCTAACCAGTTATAACAACCAATATAGCAAATTGTAACAACGTTCTAATACGTCATAAACACGTTAAGCCAAGATGTAACAACTTTATTATAAGTTGTAACAAGCGGAAAATAGAGACAGTTTTGGTTTGTGTTTCCAGGGAGTACTGATCCTCGCTTGTTAATGATCTCATTGTTTTGGTGTTTTTTAAATAATAGATTTGGCTTATTACTGAAGCGAATTGAAACAGTAATGACTTTTTGGAGGTGAAACGTCGTTTGGCTAATTACTGAAGTGTCATTATATGAAAAAAACTTTGTTTATGTTGTGTTCATTGTTGAAATATAATTTATATATTGTAATTAAAATGTTTTTTTTTTTTTTTGCATTATTGAATTATTTTTTATAATAATAATAATAATAAGCTATTTCTTATATATTATCGCAAGTCTGTAGACAGCACGCACGCACACGCGCCCAGTGGGGTCCCGCAGGGTTCAGTCCTTGGACCTATACTGTTTCTGATATATGTAAATGATCTCCCAGATGGTATAGAATCGTTCCTCTCATTGTTTGCTGATGATGCAAAAATTATGAGGAGGATTAAGACAGAGGATGATAGTATGAGGCTACAAGATGACCTAGACAGACTGCATGAATGGTCCAACAAATGGCTACTAAAGTTCAACCCGAGTAAATGTAAGGTAATGAAACTAGGCAGTGGAAACAGGAGGCCAGACACAGGATATAGAATGGAAGATGAAGTACTTTATGAAACGGACAGAGATAAGCATCTAGGAGTTGATATCACACCAACCCTATCTCCTGAAGCCCACATCAAAAGAATAACATCTGCGGCGTATGCGAGGCTGGCTAACATCAGAACTGCCTTCAGGAACCTGTGTAAGGAATCATTCAGAACCTTGTATACCACATATGTAAGACCAATCCTGGAGTATGCGGCCCCAGCATGGAGCCCGTACCTTGTCAAGCACAAGGCGAAGCTTGAAAAAGTTCAGAGATATGCCACTAGGCTAGTCCCAGAACTAAGAGGCATGAGTTACGAAGAAAGGCTGCGAGAAATGCACCTCACGACACTAGAAGACAGAAGAGTAAGGGGAGACATGATCACTACCTACAAAATTCTCAGAGGAATTGACAGGGTAGATAAAGATAAACTGTTTAACACGGGTGGTACGCGAACAAGGGGACACAGGTGGAAACTGAGTACCCAAATGAGCCACAGGGACGTTAGAAAGAACTTTTTCAGTGTCAGAGTAGTTAACAGATGGAATGCATTAGGCAGTGATGTGGTGGAGGCTGACTCCATACACAGTTTTCAAGTGTAGATATGATAGAGCCCAGTAGGCTCAGGAATCTGTACACCAGTTGATTGACAGTTGAGAGGCGGGACCAAAGAGCCAGAGCTCAACCCCCGCAAGCACAACTAGGTGAGTACAACTAGGTGAGTACACACACACACACACACACACACACACACACACACACACACACACACACACACACACACACACACACACACACACACACACACACACACACACACACACACACACACACACACACCACACACA